TCAAGTACCGTAACAGGAACTGGCCATTGGGTTTGTGGTAGTTGTAACCATTCCGGTCCATGCCACCACAAAGTGCTGCCTAATAGGTCCCGAGGAGAAACCCCCCGACTAGCTAGGTCAGCTGGGTTATGTTCGGATCGAACATGGGACCATTTGCCATTGGTTGATGTTATCTTGGCTACCCGATTAGCCACAAAGGTAGACCATTTGCATGGAGGTTTATCCAACCAGGCAAGAACAATAGTGGAGTCTGTCCAATTGAAATTTTCTCTACTCTGGATGGGGAGCTGAGGAATAAGAGCCGTGGTGAGCTCGGAAAGAAGAACGGCGCCACACAGCTCTAAGCGTGGTAGTGATACCGTCTTAACTGGCGCGACTCTCGTTTTTGCTGCGAGAAGGTGAGTGGAGATGCATCCGTTGATCTCGACGCGCAAATAAAGTGCAGCACCATATGCGCGCTGGGACGCGTCGCAGAAGCCGTGAAACTGCACCTTTGCCTTTTGCTGAAAATCGACCCATCTTGGAATACGGATCTCTTCGAGAGAGGGATAGTCGGTTAGGAAGTCATGCCAACGTTGAACGAGATCTTCCGGCAGGGAATCATCCCACCCCAGCTCTTGGAGCCAGATCTCTTGCATGAAAATCTTTGCTCGAACTATCACAGGTGCTAGCCATCCAGCAGGATCGAACAATTTCGCAATCTGTGATAGTACTTCACGTTAGTGAAGGCTGAGATACCATTTTGGACGGAGCAAAGAAAAACTGGTCTGTTGTGGCTTGCCATCGAATGCCTAGCGTTTTAGCGACGCTGGCCTCTTCGATTTCTAAGAAATCCGCACACAGTAAGTGGTCCCTTGGTATTCCTTTTAACACTTCCTTTGTGTTGGATGTCCACTTTCTCAGAGGGAACCCGGCTCTGTCGAGTGCCATGCGGAGTTCTGCAATGGCTGAAATGGCTTGTTGCTTCGTGTGTGCCCCTGCTAGAACATCATCGACATACATATTCAATTACATACAATTTTCAATTATGTCGGATGCGATACGACATTGTTCTCGTATATCACGAGCAAGTTGATGGAGGACCCGAATTGCGAGGTATGGGGCACAGTTTACCCCAAAGGTAACTGTATTGAGTTCGAAGTCGCAAAGTTCTTCGTTCTCATTGCGAAATAGTATTCGTTGGTAGGGCGTATGTCTTGGATCGACCTGGATTTGCCGATACATCTTAGTTATATCGGCATTGAAAACGTAGCGGTAGAATCGCCACTTTAGTATCTGAATCGTCAGATCGGATTGGAGTACTGGTCCCGTGTGTAGGATATCATTGTGGTCGATAATTTGCCATTGGTAGACGGGCTGGAGGCGCTAAACGCAACGTGGAACACTTTGTTGCTGGTGCCATCGAGCTTAACTTCGAGCATGATGCGGCAAGTCACGACATTGTGAATCCGCTGTCTCATTGAGATCTTGATGAGATTTATCATCTGGCTTCGCCCGCTCTCCCCGCCGCACTACATGTACAATCCGAGTCAAGACGATAAAGACCAACACAATGGGCACCATCAATGTCACTGGGCCTGTTAAAATCCACCCGAAAATAGTTTCCTGGCCCAGCAACGTGCCACATATATTAGGATGGGAGCCGCCCGTTAGTATCCGCAGCACAGACATCTATCTGCGAACTCCTGTGGAAATTCGGGTCCGCTAACTGGAGATTTGGCAGGGTTGTCAATAAACTTTGGGGGATCGAACATGATGGTAGATTCCCTGCCAAATGTGGTAGGACGTAGGCTGATGCCTCGATTTGGATACGAGGCTTGGAAGGAGAGCCAATACTAAAATGGCAGAGCTTGCGAGGCTGGGCTGCAACAGCTTGATTTAATCCCGATACTTGTGCCTGTACGGATTTGTAGGTGGAAGAGTCGCTCGGAAATAAATGTTGCCTCTGATCCCGAGTCGATCAGTGCACGAGCTGTATAATTTACACCCAAATGGCGAACATATATAACAGCCGTACTTAGGAGAACACCGTGGGTATTAATTGCAACATAATTGTGAACATTCATTTGTTGGGATGGAGTGGACTGTATGGATTGATTGAAGGGAGCTGTTGCTTGTGGCATGGAGACTACCGTAGGGCTCAATTGTGGAGTGTCACTACGATGCAAGAGCGTATTGTGACGACCCTTGCACGTAAAACAATTGTGAGCACTTGTGCAATCCCTTAACTGATGACCCCTAGCGAAACAGTTCAAACATAGTTTTTGCTGTTTGATGTAAGTTGCCCGTTCGCTGACGGGCATTTGGAGAAATCGTGGGCACAGACGGATAGGGTGATTCTCCCTGGAGCACAATTTGCAGGCTTGCGGCTTGTTAGCGACCTTATTCTCAAATGAGTTAAGCCTTCTAGTGGTAGGAGGTTCTGTTCGAACAATTCTGGAGTGCGCTGGAGTATTTGCGCTTGGCTTAAGCTCTTCTATCGCTTCTAGAATGCGATAGCGTTCTAAGAGAAAGGCGTTCATCTCAAGCCAAGATGAGATGTCGTTTTTTCTGGAGATGGACTGTTCCCATAAGGAGAGTGTTAATTTGGGTAATTTGGAGGAACATAGGAACACGAGGATACAGTCCCAGTTTTCTATGTTGATTTCGGATAACTCCAGAGCTGTTAAGCAACCTTGAATGGTGCTCTGAAGTTCCTTAATTGCCGTTCCAGACTCTTGGGAGATTGGCTGCAGGTTGAAAAGAATCTTGAGCTGGCTGTTGACTAACAATTTTCGGTTCTCAAAACGCTCAGTCAGATTGGCCCAGGCTGATCGGAAGCCATCGTTAGTCAAAGGTGACTTCGATACAATCGCCTGAGCCTCACCGCTGGTTTTCGCATTGAGATGGAATAATTTCTCGACCTCTGATAACCTAGGATTATTTATGTAAATTGCGGTAAAGAGGTCTCGAAATGTGGGCCAACGTATGTAATCTCCGCTGAAGATTTCTGTGTCGCAAGGAGGTAAGCGACACCCGGTGGGAACATATGTCGGAATGGTGGACTGAGCGGATGGTCTATTTTGGGCGTTAGCGGTATCGATTTGCTCGCTAAGTTTAGCGGCGCATCTCTCATATACCATGTAACAATAGTCGTACTTGGACTGCATAACTGAAATGGTTTCCATTGAACCGGCTTCCGAGATTATTGTTGAGCCGACCTCGTACTCTTTTTCAACCTTGTCCCACAAGGCTCGCACTTGGTCCCGACGGACCTGGCACGTATAGAGAGACGGGTCAGAGCCTCCAGGAGTGTTTATTTTTGCCTCAAACTGACTTAGCCGATCAGTGACAGCAATAAACTTGATTAAGGCCGCGTCTGTCATATTTTGGGCCGTTTTGGTATTAGCTCGCGTGGAAATCGGACTAGATCTTGTGCTAATGGTTGCCTTAGTGCGTCCGACTGCAGTGGTCAGGGATGCTTCGCTTTTAGCTTTGGACGGCGGGCGACTGATTTTTATCAGTGGACTTGGCCTCGAACTAAGAGGTGCCTTAACAGTTCCCCTTGGCGTGGACGCGGATGATTCGCTTTTAGTCCGGGACGATGTTTCCCTTTCGACTCTAAGGGCTGCTGTTGGAGACGGAGAAGTTCTGGAGGTGCTTGCGGACGGAACTGCTAATTGATGCTTTGTTTCTTCCCCTTTGCCAGTTGGCATACTAGGCGGAAGCGATTGGGTAGGAAAACAAAGGTGCTCGCTTCTAGTAGAAGAGGTTGCGATGCTTAAAACAAAGAAACACTGGAATGCCGAGACAGGTAAATAATCGAGTTTATAATTCGATTGAGATTGCGGAAGATTTAAAAAATTTTGCTTGAAATTAAAAATTTATTTGATTTGATCAATTTAATTAATAAATTTTTAACTTGGTAATTTAAAAAAAATACGATTATTTATTGAACAAGGGAAATAATAATAAAGAATTTCGATGCTCGTTTTCGATAATTTTATTATTATATTAGTCTTTAAATACGGTAACGGTTGGTTTACTTTTACTTTTTTGTGGTACTCATAAAATACCCACTATTGTGGCTGAGTACACACCGCTGACAAATGTAGAACTTCGAAGTTAATGTGTAGTGTTTTTGTTTATTTACAATAAATTAGTAGTATTATTAATCTATTAATTATGATTGTTGTGTTTTTATTGGTGCGTCTCGGAACAAGAGTAATTGTATGGGAATGTGTGCAATTGCATAAAAACGTGTAATTGGAGTACGGATCGGCAGCTGTTTATTTTTACATATGTGTGTGGTGTGTACATACGCACTTACGCCGGTTGTAATTGCAATGTGTTATAATTGTTATAATTATTCTATTGTATATTGTGCACTTAAAAATATTATATGTGGACACGCATAGTACAGATGATTTGTGGATTTATTTATCGGATGTGTGTACTATGTGGTTGCACAAATATATTCGGTTGCACTATGCAATAAATCATCAGTTGAGAAATTGAACTGGAGTTTTTATTTATGTTTATTAAATAATAATGTTAAATATAGTGTCTATTCAAAATGCATATGGGCAATTATATTCGGATTGAATATATGTATGTACGTATGCATGTATGTACAATACGTGCTGGTGACCCTGGTGTATGTTTGTGTGTCGGACCAAGAACATGAATTAACAATATTAATTAGGAAACAATATTGTGGAGCAACTTGTCGGATTAAATGCGGACACGTAATTAATTTTTTTTTTCTTTTATAGTTAGGAAAGTGCACGAGTGCGTACGTATGTACATACAAAAAAAATGTTGAAGTGGATTTCTTTTGTAGTTGGAAGTAACTACCACAAAATTTAACTAAACTGTTTTTAGTTTTTATCGGATAATTTATATATATTTGTATATATATATAATATATATATTTTCAGAAAATTGCCGATCACTTTTCTTAAAGGAAAAAATATGGCGGATATTGCCGAATATATATATAAAGGAAATTTTGTATTTACTTATCTTTGCCAAAAAAACTTGTGTAGGGGCGAACGGTTTATATATATCCGGCTCGAAGGACCAATAGGACCGTTGATCCATAGGTCGCTGGTTCATATCCGGCTCGAAGGACCAATGTTTGTGGTGGAGGCGTCGGATAAGTAAAAATAGTCGTCTTCAAATCAAACAATGGTTTTTTGCTATTGATTGTAGTAGGTTTTATTTCACTTGTGGCTGCATATAACGAACTTTACATTAGAAGTGATTTGCATTTTTCTAGTGTCAAAACGGTTGAGGTGGAGTGGAGATCGTGGGGAGAGTTCTGAGCGTACTTTGGATCCTATTTGAGAGTGAGTCTCTCTCAGTGAGTGAGTCTGTCTCACTGAGTGACTCTCTCACACTGAGTGAGGCTCAGTCGATGCTGTGTTCAGACTAGCTATGAACTGGCATGAACACTTTCATGCAAACGTTTTCCGCCAATTTACCACTGTTACGAGTGGAATTTCCCAAATCGCTGAAATACGTATTCATTACATTCTTATGTACAGCTTTGAAAATAAGTTTGAAGCAAATCGGACACAATTTAAAACTTCGCACAAAAAATCTTTGAGTCGCATTCCACCCGAAAAAGTTTGGATTCTGCGAAAAGTGTGAAACACGTATCAAATGATTTTTCTTATAGATCTTTGGAAACGAATTTGAGCGCGAAACGTCACCCACCAAATCTCTGACCTCCATTTCCACCAAGGAGGATCGGATTTTTCGAAATGTATGAAACAGCCCTTAAATGAATTTGAACAAAGATCTTTGAAAATAAGTTTGGGGCCTATCGGATGGTAAACAAAAAACTTTCATACAACCGTTTTCCGCCAATTTACCATTGTTGCGGGTGGAATTTCCCAAATCGCTAAAATACGTATTTATTAAGTTCTTATGTAGAGCTTTGAAAATAAGTTTGAAGCATATCGGACACAACTTAAAACTTCTCCCAAAAAATTTTTAAATCGCATTCCCCCCGAAGAAGTTTGAATTCTGCGAAAAGTGTGAAACACGTATCAAATGATTTTTCTTATAAATCTCTGGAAATGAATTTGAGCGCGAAACGTCACCCACCAAATCTTTGACCTCCATTTCCACCCAGGAGGAACGGATTTTTCTAAAAGTGTGAAACACCCCTCAAATGAATTTGAACAAAGATCTTTGAAAATAAGTTTGAGGCCGATCGGATGGTAAACAAAAAAGTTACATACAAATGTTTTTCGCGATTTTTCCACACTTGCGGGTGGAATTTCCCGAAACCCCGTCTTAACGTGCACCTACATCACATAAGGTAGCTACAGTGAAAATTTCAGCTTCCTAGCTCTTACGGTTTGGGCTGTGCGTTGATCACCAATCAGTCAGTCAGTCAGTCAGTCAGTCAGGACAAACAGTTTTATATATAGAGATAAGTAAGATTTGTTGGTGGATGTTTATTTACTTATTTATTTAATAGGAATTGTTTGTGAAGTTTTTTTTTGTGTTAGAGTTAGTAAGCCTTATAGTAAAGAGGGGTACATTTTTCTGAACGGATTAGGATGGCTGAGGAACAGGTGTCGGACTGGGTTTCTGACGCTGACGAAGCGTCGGCACTGCCGCCGCCGCGTCCAGCAGGAGGTCTCGCGCGAACGCCAATGAATTTCCCCGGATTTTATGAGCGACATATCCCGGCGGAGGGTCATCTGGTAGACTTAGAGAAGGAATTAGCGCAACAAGATAGATCTCCACAAAACCTAGAGTTCCCAAAAGTGACTAAGGACTCAGTGCTCACATCGGCAGCGAACCCGGCAATTGCTCAAACCCACCAGACATATTTGCATGCTCTGCCATCCGGCATCAGCGAGGAGATGCAAACAGGCTTCATAGAGCTGATGAAGGGCATCATTAATGTGCTAAGGCCGCCAGGAAGCTACGCCGGAGAGCCCAACACCGAAGCCGCCGAGACACGTCGTGCCGGGACCGCGAACAGGCGCCATTCCGAAAGAGCAAAAGAGATCTAGCGCGAGGCATTTCCCCCACCGAAACCACACAGATAAGGCGCGCGAGGAGCGGAGTACTCATTCAGCAGCCCAGTATACGTCGCAGATGCTCAGACGAGGAACTGGCGTAATCAGAATAATCGCCACTTCCGAGTATAGGCCGGAGAGCGGATGACTTTCAGCCGGAGGAAGCGTATGCCAACGTACGAGACGCAGCGTACCTGAAGCTCGAGCGGTGGAATGTAAAGTTCGATGGCGAGGACGCCATGAATTCTGTCGAGGAGTTTGTGTTTCGGCTGGAGTTCCTGCTGAGGCAATATCAATGCCCGTGGAAGGAGGTCCTGCTCGGTTTTCATCTGCTCCAGACCAGCCGTGCCCGCGAATGGTATTGGATGCACGCGCGGCATTTTAGGGTCGGCAGCTGGTACAACTGCGGCACGCTCTCTAAGACAGGTTCCGGGGCTATCAGATGGAGCATGATGTGATGCAGGAGCTACTACAGCGAGAGCAACAGACCAGCGAAGGGGCGGATGTTTTCATCCACCACATGCGTCAGCTCGCAGCGCGATTCCAGAAGCCGTTGAGAGACCGCGAACTGGTTAAAACATTTAAAGCGTGGATTGAAGGAGAGTCTGTCAAAATACATCTATGCTATGGATGTACTCACAGTGGATGAGCTGCGTCAAGAGTGCATAAAAGTGGAGAGGCACATTGGGCATTCTAACGATTAGCTGACTTAGAAGATATTAGTGTAGGATCCTGAGGCTAACGCGGCTTATAAAGGCGTATGTTGCTCCAGGGTTTGTGTTTCTATTAATTTATCTGGCTGTCTCACGGGAGCTGTTTTGTCTTCGCTTCGTTTTTTAATACTTAACGATTTGCCAATACGAACATTGCCTGCTACAAAAATATTGATATGAACGAGACCGAGGCTGATAAAATGTTGTGATATAGAGTAAATTAGGCTAGTAAATAATTGTGCCGGTGAAAATAAGTAAATTCGGTTTTTTTGTGTTGTTTCCTCGTAGTGGTCTTCAGGTCTATCTTGACGTCAGAGCTTTCCCAGAGAATGATGAAGTCACTTTGCGTTGCACTATAATTCTGGGTAGAGTAATAGCATATCTCGATTTAGGAAATCGTAATGGATTATTTGACGCTGGTAAATGATTTTGCACTGCCGGTCATCCACGAGAGGTATGACGTGAGCAATGGACAATCAAACCTAGGAGTCGGAAATTGGATGGTGTAGTTTAGATTAGATGGCATTCCAACCAAAACATGGCATTCCCTCCCCTCTTTAATTGATAGGTGATTGTTATAAAGCAGGCGTTAGAATTTCGGTGGCATTAGAATTTAATTTAAATGGCGACTGGCCGAGGTCAAGGTGAACATGGTCACCAATCCCGGTCTAGGGACCTGACTAGGAATTATTACTTGTAGAGCGAGGGCGAGATTACAGAGCAAACGGTATTGGGTCTGCTATTAATGTGTCGTTGGATCAAGCCTAGGCCACTTATAAGCAGCCGTTAACCGGGGGGTTAAGTGATTCGTTTAGGGAAGAGATCACGGCCGGCATGCAGACCATGATTCAACTCCTGTAGACGCACAAAAAGCTGAACGCTCGGAAACTCCGCTGGTTAAGGCAAATGTAGTTCTACAGGACCGTCTGCCATTGGCAAGAACAATTTAAAAGACACTCTTTCAAAAGGGCCACTTTTTCGACTGAAATCAGTGCATAGTAGCCCAGAGTATTAATCGCGCAGGGATCATGATTGGCGTAAACCATAGGGAAAAATGCTATGCTTTCATACGCTCTTGACTCGCAAAGCTAGAATTGGTATTGGCTGCATGTGAGGCGATCGAATGTCGATCAGTGGCCATTTCTGAGAAGGCGATGCTTGATAGGTTTCGGGTCCGTGGTCTGAGCATGACCAGATGCACGAGCTACTACAACGCGGGCGTCATGGGACACCTAGCGTCGCAGCTACTGTCTTAGTCAGACAGACATTTAGTGGAAATATTAAATATTAAAAAAGGTCTGCGAGAGAATGTAACCAGAAACGTATACGCGTAGACATCTTCACAGTCGACCAGTTTATGAATGAGCTTAACGAGGTGGAAGCCAGTTTCGGCTCCTCCACGATATAGTGAAGGACAAAAACCAATCGTGAATGAGTTAGAGGCGAAGAAATCGTGGACGAAGTACGCTCTGATCAGAGGCGCACGAACAGACTCGGATGCTGGAACTGTGGGAAGTGCGCCCCAGATTTCACCGACTGCCCATCTATAGAACGGAAACTGCTTTGCTTTAAATGAGGTTATCCAGGCACCATCTCTTCCAAATGTCCAGAATGCTCGGGAAAACCTTGGGTGGGCGTGAAGGGGCGTGGCGACTCACGTTCGGAACGCAGTCTTCTGAAGAAAGGTGGAGGAAATAATTAGAAATAATGTATTTAATGCGTGACAATTAGGTGGGATGCTAACAGTGACACCCCGTATCAAAAAGTCATGAGATTTGGTCGAAAAACTAGGGGTTAGGGTGTGTGTGGGCGAGGCGTCAGATAAGTAATCCGTCTTCAATTGAATCAGTATAATTTTCGTTTTATATAGTAGCTTATAATAAAAGCGGCTCCATATAAGGAACTTTACATAAGAAGTGATTTGCATATTTTTTATATCGGAGCTGTTGTTGTGGAGTGGAAACCGTGGGGAGAGTTCTGAGTGAACTCAGGATCGTGTATGTGAGTGAATCTTTCTCATTGAGTGAGTCTCTCTCACTGAATGAGACTCTCCCACTAAGTGAGTCTCAGTCAATGCTGTGTTCAGGCACTGGCACTGAACTCGGTTCAATATTTTCCCTTCCCTTGCAACATGCAGATTGAAAAGCTCCCTATTTTGTGCACGTGGCAGAGAGGATCTATCCAAACTTTGAATGTTGGGCCATGGGCAGGCCGCCTTGGCTCGGGTAGAATATTGTGTGGGTAGAAGTCGGCGCCGAGTACTAATCGTACTGGAGATAGGCGGAACCAGTCGTTGTCGCAAAGGAAATTGTTCATTGCTGAATCAGCTAATT